CAAAGCTATGGCTATTAACATTCAATGTAAGTATTGAAAGTTATATGGTGATTCCTCTCATTTAGTTGATTTATGTAGGGTTTGTGGATATACAATTTATTCTAGGCTAATCTCTTTTATCTGGTTTTCTAATGTCATTTCATAGTCCATTTTTTTCATGGGTATACTAATTTTCATTTTCTGTGTGTATGATTCCTGTGAGGATCTTCTGGAGTGCTGGTTATTGGTCATGTATTATTTTAGTTTGTATTTAGCTTAGCAGGATTTGTTTCCTCCTTCAAATTTTTTTTACATAAATGCGAATATTCCATCAAAATTAATATGCTAATTCCATCCCCGACCGCTAGAAGTTACCTAAAAAAGGATATTCTCTTTGCTGAGATATTCAAATTTCCTAACCTTTATAAATAAGTCTTTTAGGTATTATTTCAATATTTTAAAAGTAAGAAATGCTTAAGCATAATTTTGGCTTTATTTTAAAATCGAGGGATTTGTTTTTGGGGTTTATTTATTCATTTAGTCATATGCTGCTTCCGTCATAGTACCTAGTTGAAAGGTGGGCAGCTGAATACAGGAATGGAAGCCAGATGTCTATGTGTTGCACATGATTCATCTGTATATTCAGGGTAGAAAGGGCAGCTTGGGGAAGGGGCTGTTTCTGAGTGTGCCTGGAGGGTAGCTCCTTGAATAATTGGAGGGGTTTATTAGACATGAAGCACAATCATTTCAACTTGGCTTTTGGCTCATACTGTACAGTGGGAGTTAGAAAAGCTTTATAACTTAGACCACGTAGAAGGCTCATTTTGAGTAAGGGTTGGCTGTGTGGATGTCTAAACTGCTCTCTAAGGATTTTGCAAAAACTTGGCACAATTCTTACTTTAGACAGTTGGTCTAAAAACTATTTGTTAGGAACTTAATTGCACTAGATGTGCAATTTAGTTTTTTAACTTTGTTATCTTTCAAGTTGCAAATTTGTTCATAACATTTCTGAGAAATGAGAAAGAAATTAAAATCATTTAGTGGTTATGCTTGTTTAGTATGTTAAAAAATAAGGCTTTTCTATCAACTGTGGTTATTTTTTACCTTTTAATTTTTAATGTATAAAATAAGAATTTGAAGATAACACTGAAGAAAAACAAATGCTTTCCTAAAAGGAAAGGGTTGCCATTTCGATGTCGTAGAATACAAAATAGAACAGAATCAGAAAAAAGACCAGAACAAAATATTCCACATGTTTCCTAACACGCTTTTTGGAATTGATCTAGGATTCGATTGTGTCTCAGAAATGGTAGTTTTATTTCTTACCTTCCACTTCCTGGTCTATTTGAAGCACCACGGTCTTGGAAATTTCTGAGAACAAACCCTTCTTATGCTATTTATTCTTCTATTTGGGGACTAAGACAATTTAGAAAACTGTCAAAATATCCAGATAAGCTTGTCAGTATAGATACTACTAGGCAAGAGAAAAGCACAAGTTAAGAAAAACACTTTTTTTGCAGTCAGCCTTGGAATATTCCCACACCTCATTTGCAAACTTTCATTTTCCATGGGCTATCTTTTCACGTGAAGATAATATTTTAACCATTTTCTTCCCTTACCCCTTGTGCAGAGCAACTGGAACTCAGAAGGAAGGAGTCTGGGTATGTTTGGAGTTTTGGTGTAGGAAATAGCAAGTGGGAGTACCACTCACTTTCTCAGTGCTGTTTGTTCCAGGGATGTCGGATTTCCTCAAATCCAACCATAACATAAGTGCCCTTCAGGCCCACTTTCAAATTGTTACTGCTCCATTCTTGACTGTGGTAACTGAGCACTTGGCGTTTGGGAAGGGGTCTCTCACATCGTGAGTGAGCTTGTCCTAGAAACCTAACCACAGGCAATGAGAGATGGTGGAAAAAACAGCAGACCGAAGACCAATCATTGAAAAAGCTGGAGCCATGTAGGCTAAGTACACTGATCAAGATACACCAGCAACCTCCACCTCCAGTGAGTTTATCATACATAGTTGCAACACAAGGTGAAGAGGCAATTCTTGGGGAGCGGCCTGACTTGTAATCCTCAGGAACAAGAAAAATCTTTGACAGCTTCTCTCTGAACCTAAACATCTTAGGAAATACAGCTGTACTGCATTTTCCCCACATCTGCACCTGAGGCTGTGCCAATCTATTGTGCAAATTACTGGGCATAACTATGGCCGCTCTCTTCTGCAGTTTGGTGCTGTGCCAAACTCAAAGACACAGCTTATTCTATACACCTGTTGGCTCCCAACAAGGGTCCATTTCAGTTGGTGCCAGAGCCCCATCTTCTTTTGGACACAAATCAGGCTCCTTCTTAGTAGGCTGAACAAGGGCATTTTGGCCAAAAGGTTTTCACTAGAAGTTTTAATATGAAGGTTTTAAGTCATTGTGTTCATACAACTATCAGTGCTCTTCATAACTTGAAATACTCAATGTGTTATTTTTACCTATTTAAAAGATTTAAGTACAGTGTCAAATCTTCTGAAATTTCTTAAAATTATATTGTTTTTTCATTGACAGCTCAATTTTCCTTTTAAGTGTAATAGTTTAGAAAATATTATGTTTTAAGAAAAGTGTGAGGTATTTTTGTAACAGAATAAATTTGCTGTTTTGGACTGTGGAAAATTCCACCCCTTCAATCATAAGTAGTGTTCAGATTTAAAAATATATATAAAATGAGCTAAAAGATTAACATTTCCAAAATGTGAAATGTTTCTAGAAGTGTTTATTATGTGCTAGAAAATGAGCAATTTATTCACATTATCACATTTAAATGTTACAAACCTTAGAAGTAGAGGTGTTTTTATTCATAAAGTGCTCACAGTTATCACACATGAGAACTCCTAGAAAACAAAGAATTTTTTGTAGACCATTTAAGTTTTTTAGCAAATAAAATCATATTCCCTAGAAAAAATGGGATGTTGAGAGATAGGATTTCTGTGAACTCCCCATTAGCTCAAATCAGTCTGCTTACTCTCCTCTGACTCTCCAGTGGGAAACTTTCTACAGCCACCTTAAGTGCTCATTGGTCAGGACTAAAACTGTATATCTCATAGAAATTGCTCTTATATTAGTATTAGGAGGAAGAACATGAAGTTTTCCACTTAATAGCATGGAAGTGGTCAGCCAGGTTTATCGCCAGCACAGAAAATTTCTTTCTAAAGTCTTTTCTCCTGGATAATAAAAACAGTACTTTAAAGAAGGTCTCTGACCACCATTCATGGTCATATTGAAATTTTTATAATATATCAGGTGAAAAATATATATTATGCTCCCTATTTTTGTACTGGGAGGGAATCACATTCTTATTTGAAGAACAGTATATAGTCTTAAATTCTTGTAGCTTACCCACTGAAATGCCTGTGAGAGATGAAAATGCCAAGTGTGTGGACTCTGAACAGTGAACTCCATTTAAGCTCTGATTTTTTTTTGGATATTTGAACATTTCCCATGGTACAGTACATATTTTCTTTCCTTTAACCTCATCTTTTATGGAGATCTCTGCCATTATAAGACAAAATGCATGAGGTGAACATTGTATCATGTACTTGTTCGAACAGGAAAATGGATGAGAAAATTTATCTGGCTGTACTGTTTGGAAAAGGAAGTGTTTCTAGCCTGTAATATATTACATATCACTACATAAAGACAGGCACCACAACTGGGGAGCTGAGAGCAAAAATCCAAGGGGGCAACTCCAGGAAAGTCCATTAAGAGTTCTAAATATTTCTGCCACTGAAGTCACATGCATTGTTTTCTTCTCTGTCCAGTTTATCTTCTCCATGTCCTTCCATGATGTACCTAAATCCTTTGTCTCTGCATAGCCCAGTTGAAATTTGAGTTACCTGTTTCACATAACAGGAATGTGCAAGCTCTGTTTGAGCACAGAATGAGAAACTGCCTTGATATTTGTGCTGAGAAAGAGACTGGGGGAATGGTGTGAACAGATATTCCCAGAATATCAGAGATGCATAGGCTGGAGAACGAAGTGCACGACAGGATACAATGACCCTATTAATCGTGTGATTTCTCCAGATTTGAATCCCATTTATTGTGCTAATACTTAATATCTGTAAATGTCAAATTTTATTCTCACAATTCATCATGGGTAGATTCTGAAACAATTTCCACAAAATTGTCATGAATGTTCTTCTCACAATCTTATTAATGCCCTTTGCATCTGTTAGGTAATCTTCTCTTATTTTCCATCCCATAACACTTTTAACAGGGGTTGTCATGAGGGATTAGTGAATTAGACATGGCAGAGCTCAGGGCTTCACAAGCACAGAACCATGCAGGAAATCATTAGAAGACATCTGTTCTGGAGGCTGTCAATTAGGTCAGATATTGATTTAGACTACATTACACTTTATGTTCTCTTTTTCTTATATCGTGCAATGTATTTCAGTATTATCACCATGAAACGATTGGCGTGGGTGGTGAGATGAGCCTTAGGAATTTGTGAAATTCAGCAGTTGTGTACCCTAGAAAAACTTCATTAATGCACTTCCTAAAGTGTTTTTAAAGATTCAGTATTGGGCTGGCAAAGTGGCTGAAGTGGTCAAAGTGCCTGCCTAGCAAGTGTGAGGCTGAGAGTTCAAATGACAGAGCAAATAACAACAAAAACTCAGTATTTTCAGAGGCCCAATAAAATATGTTGATTTCTTTCAGAATCTGAATTAAGTTGTATGTAATTCAGGTTGAATTTTATTGATCTGTGAACTGATCAAATGAGAAAAAGTGTTTTAGTATTCATCCATTACAGAATAAGAGCCTCTAACGGCATGTGTGCTCAGATTCACGAAGTCTTGAGGTTCCTTCTGGAGTATTAAGTACAATTCACCACATCATGGAATTCTGCCCAAAAGAGCATGCATAGTGAAATAAACCAGAATTTAAGAATTGTATACTGTATGATCCCATTTGTAAATCTTAGGTAATGAAAACCAATGAACTAGAATGAGGGGCAGTTGCTGGGTGTTCACCCTACTGGCAGAAGAGGAAGGTTTCTTGTCTCACTTCCTTATAGAACTGAAGCACTGTACGAGCACTGAGGCTTTTGTCATAAGCATCACAGTAGTAATCAGCCTCATCCTCAGGCTGGACCACCGTGATGGTCAGAGTGGCTGAGTTGCCAGACTTGGAGCCAGAGAAGCATTCAGGGATCCCTGATGGTCGATTGCTATTACCATAGATGAGGAGCTTGGGGGAGCTTCCTCGCAGCTGTTGGTATCAGTGCACATTATAGGTGCCAGTGTTACTGCTGTTTCCAAGATAGGAGATGGTGACTTTCTGTCCACGGTTCCCAGACACTGAGGATGGCTGAGTCAATACAGATTGTGCCCAGGATCCTGAAAGAGGGAAGATCAGATAGTAATTTGTGGTCAATACTGGAAGAAATAGCAGTGACCTATGATTTTTTTCAGGCTCTACCCACAGCGCATATCCAGTGCACTGAGCAGTATGTGAGGAGGGTGATTAAAGAGGACAAGGTCATGATGGAGTTCTTCCGTGAGTCCTTCTGTGCCTCAAAGTTGGACAGAACTCCCTCAAATCTTCCCCTTGCCCTTCTTCAGTCTCTGACGATGGGGTGTATGCTCTTACGCAAATGTGGATTCTCTATCATTTGCTCACACTCTGATGCCACGATCTGAAAATATCACTGAGCTATGTAGGGGTGTGGTTGGATGGGCTGTGTTGTTGAGGGAGTCAGTGTGTGGGCCCTGATAGAATGACATAAGGCAGGGACACTTAGCTCATTCCAGACCTCATCACCCCAGCAAATTCAGTAACAGTCTTCATGTGATCTTTTACATCTGGGTCCTGCACTCTGCATTTCACAATGGTGATAAAGACCCTCAGAGGCAGTCCTGCCTTCCCAATGATATCTTTATACATAATAAATCAAACTTGCCTGTGGTGTCCCTCTGTAGACTCACTCTGACCTCAAACTTCTTCATTTTTTGCTATACACAGACTGCTCAGGAGAAAAATCTTTCCACAGCCAACTTAAATTCTCATTGGTCCTGACTGACATGATGTGTCCTGGGCATAATCCTTTCAGATCAGGATGGAGGAAACAAACATGGATGCTTTGGTGTTAATAAGAGGCAACATGGTTATCTGCCAGTTTTTCTGAAACTCTGAAGACTGATTCAAAGTCTTAAACATTTACCATAAATACTGTATTTTGAAATGATATTTGACCATGATTTACTGTTATGTTGTATTCCTCATAATATATCAGAAGGAAAATATTATATTTTATACTGGCATGGTTATATTACATAGTACTTGTGTTTATTTTTTATAATCGTTTCTAGTTTATCTAATAAGAATAACCAAAGATTAACCTGCCTTATCTCCTAAGTCTAAAAAGTGGACTACCATTAAGTTCACATATTTTAGTTTTTTTTGGATCCTGGAATTTTTCCCAAGACATAGTACATATTTTCTTTTGTTAATTCTTAGCTCTTTTAGATACATGATCTTTATTAATAATGCAGTATATATAAGTATTGGTGTTTTAAATTTACATGAACTTGAGAATGATGGTTTAGTTTTAAAGTGTAAGGACTCTATGATTGAGTTTTTAACACATTACTCAATAATGTGAGAAGAACCTGGTGGAAATCTGTGGAGAACCCAATCCAGTGGAGCCAGGCAAGTCTGTTCAGGATTCACAACAGGTGGATTTATGCCCTGAGGGGCTCAGACACAGCTGAATGTGAATCATATGCACTAAGACCCTGCCCAGCATTGGAAATCAGGAAATGACAGTGACAACACTTCTCTGACCAAGACCCAGGAGGTGAACAATCACTGCAGTGACCAGGACTTGCCTGAAGTGCAGCTTTGTATAATTCCAAATAAAGTGTTTCCACATGAAGTGTGCACCAAAATTAGAGATTCCTGTGCTTCTTCTATGTGTTTGGTCCTCACATGAAGAGAAAGGTAGAGAAGAAGAAACAAGAAATGTTGGGAAGCTGAACCACTGTTTCAGTTTCTTGAGACATTTATTTCCTCTATTCTTCTGGTAAGACAAGGCTTTCATAGCATTTTTTATCTGTTTGTTCATCTTCTGAGGATATTGAATTTCAGATTGTGTTTTGAATGAGACGGGGTGTGGGTTGTTTTTGGGGTGACGTTGGTGTTCATATCTCTTAGATAAAGGACATGTCAGGTTAATACACTGAAGGGTTGACTTTGAGCTTGATTTCTCACTCCTGTAATCCCAGTTCCTAACTGGTGGGGACAGAAGGATGGCAAATTTGGTGCTATCTCATGTAAAGACCCTGTCTCAAAACAAAATTCAAAAACAGCCTGTGGTGTAGTTCAAGTGGTAGAGTGATTACATTTTTTTTGTATAATGTCATGTGTTCAATCCCAAACATACCAACTGAGAAGACTAAACTTTCCAATTAAAAATGGCAGGTATTTCCCTCTCAGCCCAAAAAATCAACAAAAATGTCCAGATGTGATTTATTAATATCAAGTTGATCATAATATATTCATGTCCTGATGCCAGAGAAAAATTAGAATCATGTAAAATCTGTCCATTTTCAATAATACTAATAATTTAAAAATTTTGAAGTGATTAATAATATATTTAGGTAAATTCAGAGCAATTCCTTTTTTCACCTCTTAATCTATAAAGGTTAGAAATACTAGCCTAATGTGATCCCACTTGTGGACAAGATGTTGATAGAAATGTATATAAGTGCAGTGAAAGAGTTATACTGACTGATGTATTAGTTTCATAGTATGATTATAACCGTGTATCACAAACTTGATGCTTATCAACAGCAGAATGTGTCTTGTCTTAATTTTGGAGGCCAATTGTTCCAAATCCACTCATAGGACCATATTTTCTATGTCACCTCTAGGCAAATCCTTCATTCTTACTCCCAGTTTCCCAGTTTTTGACAGTAATCTCGGGTGCTCCTTCCTGCACTTGCATAAGTCCATTCTGTGCATCCATCTTCATGTGACTTTCTTTCTCTGTTTTCTTATCTTCCAGTTTCTTCCTTATGAACATATCAGCATGATGAGTGTTAAGGCCACATTATTCCATTGCAGTCTAATCTTAACTGATGATGTGTGGATGACACTGTTCAAACGGGGCCTTATCCTGTATAATGGGGGCTATCATTTTAATATACCTTCCTAGGGAGAAATCTCATCACACAACATTATGAAAAAAATCCATTTCTAAAGTTTTGTAATTTTTAGTATTTTGAAGTGCTATGATGGATATTCGCATGTAGATGTGTGAAACTAGAGCACTAGCTCCTACTCTGTGCAAAAATAAAATCAAAATTGATCAAGGACATCAATGTCAAACTGCAAACTTTAAAACTGCTACAGAGATGTATAGGGAAAGCCTTCCAAAATACAAGCATAGGAATGAATTTCTGTATATACTACCAAAAGCCCAGGAAATAGAGCAAGAATTGACATGTGCACAGCAAATAAACAATAAAGAAGGAGAAGGTTAATCCTGCAGAATGGGAAAATATGTCAGCCAATATTCAGTATCAGGTTATCAATATCCAGAATATAAGAGGAACTCAAAAATAAAAATAGTTATATCAATAAATGGGCACATGAACTGAATAGACAATTCTGAAATGAAGGTTGCAAATGCATAAGAAACAAATGTCAAACTCTTCAACATACTTAACCACCAGAAAATTTAATCCAAACAACAATGTTATTTCACTTCATGCCAATCAACATGGAAATCATCAAGAAATCAATCAACAAGTAAACAAATATCAAAACAAACTGGTGAGGATGTGGCAGAGGGAATTCTCATTTACTGTTTGTGAGAATTTGAATGAGGGGAGACACAATGAAATTCACCAGGGATATTCTGCAAAAATAGGACTCCCATATGACCCAGACAGAACACGTGTGGGTACATACATAAAGTCAGTTTATGACAGCACTTTTCATAATAGCCAAATTATGGAATCAGCCTAGATATGTATTAATGGATGTATGGATAAGAAAATGTGGTCTGTGTATGCAGTAGGGTTTTACTCAGCCATTATAAAGAAAAATACCATTTGTTCAGAAAGGCATGCAATTGATGATTATCATGTTAGGTGAAATAAGCCAGTCCTGCAAGGAGAAATATCACATGCTTTCTCCAATTTATGAATGTTAGTGGAAAACAAAAGCAAAAAGTAAACAAATCATAAAAATAAAGCATAGACTGGGATAAAGATCAATAGGAAAAGGAGAGTAGAGAAGAAGTAAGGGAATTAGATCAATGGAGGGGTAAATATGATCAAAGTACCTTGTATACCTGTATGAAAAAGTCACAATGGAAACCTTTGATATGTAGAATTAATACACACCGATAAAAAATAACAAAATTGGAAGGCAACTTTTACTATTTTATTGTATTATTTTTATTATGTCAAAATTATTTTATTCTATTAAAATTGATATACTTGTTATTTTATTAAAATTCACCTAATATAATTAGTATTAGTGACATACAAAGGGAGATTCCTGTACATTGCTCTTATGTTTATGAAAGGGCATTAGTGGCTGCTGTTCTCTGGACAAAATGTGCTGATCTCAGTACTCAGATTTCATCCAACTATTAATGTTGGGGTGGGAAAATAAATAATCCAATTTCATTGGTTATGGGATACCTTCACTTAAGGACACAAACAGGACTAGATGTCAAGTCAGGACTTTGCTTTTACCTTTATGTGTATGGATAATCAATATTTAACTTCCTGAGAGCACAGAGTCTGGTCTGTTTATACCCAGGTTCAACCACACGCATGTTAGGTCTTGACTCTGAAACTGCATAAAACACTGTGCTGAACTGCTGCAAAGTAGCAATCAGTAGCAATCCATCTTGTGCTCAGGTTTGGCCACTGAGAAGTTCATGGTAGATTTGTCCCCATAAAAGGAGGCAGAGAAACCACTGGCCATCCACAGGTGTATAAGGCCTGTGTTATAAAATGGTGTTCTGGGCACATGCCATTGACTTTTTTCTGAAATAAGAATGGGTAGTGAGCATTGCTGAGTACTCAGGTCCTGGAGCCTCAGTGAGAGTGACTGTTCCTCCTGAGGACATTGTCAGTGAGTGCTCATCAGTCAGCATGTCTGAGAACTGGATCTTAATACCAAACTCAAACATGCTAAGAATGAAGATGGAAGATGGGGGCAGGGGGTAAACCTAACATCTGTATTACTCT